GTTAGGATTTATGGTTAAAGTTTTTAATAAAAGAGTATAGGTGGATTTTGGTAGGGCCTATATTTTCAAATTGAGACTTTAAATTTCACAATAATCCAATTTCATAATCAGCCACGATAATTATTAATGATAATTAATAATTATTATTATTAATTAATAATTATTAATAATTAATAATCATTATTATTAATTATTAATTAATATTAATAATTAATAATCATTATTATTAATTATTAATTAATAATCATTATTATTAATTATTAATTAATAATCATTATTATTAATTAATAATTATTAATAATTAATAATCATTATTAATAATGATTATTAATAATGATTATGTAATAATTAATAATCATTATTATTAATTATTAATTATTAATAATTAATAATTATTATTAATAATAATTATTAATAATAATTATGTAATCTATATTATAGACTTAATTATAAATAAATCAAAAATTTTATAAGTATAAAAAATTCTTTTTTTAAAAACTTTATTAAATAATTTTTTAAGAATTTTATTGATATTTTAAAATGGCTCCTAAAAATACAAAACCTGTTCCTCAACATATTCTTGATACTAATCCTGCTTCTGAAAATAAAACACCACATGAACGAACAAATCGATTAGCACGTATTCGATATACTATTAATAAATATTATGAATTAAATCTAAATTTAATTCAAGAAAAATCTCAAGCAAGTTCTTCTATTCAATTAGGTAAACTTAGAATACAAAAATATCAAGTTTTACAAACTGAACAACAAAAAACAGAAATTAAAAAAAAAATTTAGAAAAAAAGAAAAAAGCTCAACAACAAAAAATTAAACAATTTTATAAAATTGGTCAATATGAACTTAAAAATTATAATAAAAATAAGATTAAAGGTGATAATATTGAAGCTAGACATCAAACAATTAAAACAATAAATATAATTTGTAATTATTGTTATGCATTCAAATGGAAAAATGATCCAAATTCATTTTGTTGTATGAATGATCAAATTAAAATTGCATTACTTGCACCTGCTTCAAATATACTTTATAATTTACTAATAACAAATGATCCTAATACTGATAGATTATTTGTAGAACAAATTTGAGCATATAATTCAGTATTTGTATTTACTTCTTTAGAAGTAAATCTTGATGAAACATTAGCAAATACACAGAAAGGTGTTTATATATTTAGAATACAAGGAGCTTTATATCATAAAATTAGTTCCTTAATACCTAAAGAAATTGAAAGAAAATATGATCCAAATTTTGCACAAATTTATTTTTATAATTCAAGTTTGGATAATCAAGTAACAAGACGAATGGATTTAATACTAACATTAAATAAAAATATGATTCAAGCAATTCAAAATAAATAATATGAAATCAATTCATTTGTTAATATATTTTATCAAACAGGATTTGAAGTAGATAATTATCCTGATTTAATATTAACAATTTATAGTATACATGAAAAGGATATGAGACAATACAATTAACCAATAGTACCAGAAATTGCAGCAATTATTCTAGAAAATTATGAAAATACTGTAATTCAAAAAAGAAATATTTTACTTAAAACACATACAGGAAAATTACAAAAAATCTCTGAACTACATGGTGCTTATGATCCATTGCAATATCCTTTATTATTTCCTTATAGTGAATATGGATGGCATGATAATATTTTGAGAGCTAATATAATTATGACTACATTAGATAATGAACAATTTGATGATGAATTTGAAGAATTTGATAATGAAGAATTTGATCCTAATCAAATTTCAATTTATTGAGCAACAAATATTGCTGAAAGTACTGGTACAACAGAAGCATTTGAAAATTTATTAGTTAGATCTGGCTCAAATATAAATACAGGATCTAATATTAAGAAAAAAAAAACAGAAATTGAAGTTAGTAAAGAAATAGTTGTAATTAAAAAAAGAACAGAAGTTGCATATAATGAAGAAATATTTGAAATTGATAATGAAAATGAAAATAAAATTATATCAGAAGATGAAGATTTGGATTAAATTCAAGTACACCAATCAAAACAAAAAGCAAAATAAGTTACAATTTGAGAATTTGTTGTTCATAGAATTCAAGTTCAAAATTATAACAAAACACAAAGCATTTTACATCTTTCTGGTCATTTATTTCAACAATATTTAGTAGATCAGTATGTCAAATAAGAATCAAATACTTTATGATAGTATAGAAAAAATCAATCACAATTTAGATCTGAAATTTATTCAGGTCTACAGGACATTGTTAATTCTGATAATACTACTATAGAAAATATTGGCAAAAAACTTATTTTAGCATTATCTTTTACTGGATCTCAATGATATATGCAGCAACTATATCAAGATTCTATGGCAATTGTTAGAGAATATAGCAAATCTGATTTATTTGTTACTATAACTTGCAATCCTAAATGGTCAGAAATAATTAATGAATTATTAAACAGATCTGAAAATAAAAAACAACAAACTTCTAATAAACCTGATATAATTGCTAGAGTTTTTAAACAAAAACTTTAAGCAATTACACAAAATTATTTATAAATAGTGTACTTGGAAGAGTTATTACACATGTTCATACAATTGAATTTCAAAAAAGAGTACTGTCACATGCACATATTCTTATGATATTAGTATCTGAAGATAAGCCAAAAACATCTGAAGATTTTGATAAAATAGTTTGTGCAAAAATTCCTAATAAAAATCTCCAACCTCTGCTTTATGGAACAGTAAGCAAAAATATGGTTCATGGCCCCTGTGAAAACTTGAATCCAAAATCACAATGTATAAAAAATGGTAAATTTAGTAAACATTATCATAAAGAGTTTACTACAACAACATTAATTAATAAATTTGGATATCCAATTTATCAAAGAAAAAATAATGAAAAAACAATTAAAAAAAGACAATATGTTATTGATAATAGATGGATTGTTTCTTACAATCCATATCTTTGTTAAAAATATAATTGTTATATTAATGTAGAGATATGCTCAAGTATTCAATTAGTAAAATATCTTTACAAATATATTTATAAAAGATCTAATCAAGCTATTATTAAAATTGGAAATCCTAAAAATGAAATTAAGCAATATATAAATGCAAGATATGTTTCTGCTATTGAAGCATGTTGAAAATTATTTAATTTTGGCTTGCAAAAAAGATCACATAAAGTTGAATAATTACCAGTTCATTTAGAAAATCAGCAATCTATTATTGTTAATCAAAATAAACAAATATCTACTGTGTTGGCAAAATCTTTTAATATAAAATTAACAAAATATTTTGATATATGCAATACAAATCAAGATGATTCTGATATAATGAATTTATGATATATAGATTTTTTAAAATTTTTTGTTTGGAATAATGGATTCTGGAAATGAAGAAAACGAGGTGGTAAAAAAATTATTTCTAGAATATATATGTGTAGTCCACATGAAAAAGAAAAATTCTTTATGCGAATATTATTAGCTCAAGTTAAAGGTGCTATTAATTTTAAAGCAATTCGAACTATAAATGGAATACTTTATAATACATGTAAAGATGCAGCTCACCAACTTGAATTATTGAATGAAGAAAATAATGAATTTGATAAATGCATTAGGAAGCTGCATCTTTTAAAATGCCATTAAAATTATAACAATTATTTGCTTCAATCTTACTATTTTGTGATCCACAGGAATTGGATCCAAAAAAATTATTTTATGAAAATGTATATTTTTTAGTTGAAGATTATGAAAGAAAACAAAAAAGGCTTACAGGAAAAAATGAATTAACTGCAGATGAATATCGAGTAATCATTACCAAAGCATTAATAGATATTCAAAAATATTTATCATATTATGAAAAACATTTAACGATTACTTATTTCCTGCACCAGATTATAGTTTGGTTGAAGATGCTGAAAAATATAGTATATGGGATTAGGAAGTTGATTTTGATTCAAATGAAATCAATTATACATTACAAAAAGAATATCTTTTGAATATTGATCAAAAATTAATTTATAATACTATTATTAAAGCTCTAAATAAAAATAATACAAATGATGAAAACAATACAACCAAACAAAAAAGTCTTTTTTGTTAATAGACCTGAAGGTACAGGAAAACATTTTTATTCAACATGCTATTGGCATGAACAAGAAGAAGTTTTGGAATTGCTCTTGCTGTTGCTTCATCTGGAATTGCAGCTTTACTATTAACTGAAGGAAAAACTGCACATTTTAGATTTAAAATTTCTTTAAAAATTACTGAAACT